AAAATTATCAGGAAGTTACAGTTAAAGTAGAACATAAGCAACTTCTCAACTTAACTCATTAAAATTGAAATGCAATTAAGAACTACTATTGATCAGGGCTTAAAAAGGATCTGAAGCTTTGAAAAAAAGTTTTACCTCAAAGAAAGATGCTTACACAAACACTGAACAGAAGACGACTGAGTGGGAGCGGGACAACCAACTGCATAAACTATCTGAAAAATATATCGAAATCTAATAATAATGAGACTATCTATCCTTCAAATGAATAACGATTACGACGATTCATAGGCAAGATAAACGCAAGACCCGGAAGACGTTTGTTGAACGATAGGAGGAAATAATTGGAAAAAACTTTCTTGATGCCACCTAGACGGAAATCACGAAAAGCCTAATTAACAAGTGTTCCCGAAATTTACAGAGAAATTCACAATTTCTCAGAACGGCAGATGGCAATTATCATATTAATCAGGTAATATGATTACGGATCTGTTGGTGGAAGCCACGTTAAAAACCTTCCCCTTTACGATCGCATAAAACATGAAACATTCTATAAAATAGGTATGCAGAAACTAAGCAGAAGTTGTCATCAGTTATAATAATGAAATTATTGACGTAAGAACGTGCCTTTAAGATCACAGGCACGAAAAAATGTTCCTTTTATTTATATAGAACCATACCATAAGCTCAATTCTACCAATATTTTGATATAAATGTATGTATGCCAATCGATTTCACTGTAGCGCAGTTACAGCGCCTTTCGCCAAACAGGCATTCGTCCTGATCAGGAGTTCAGACTGTATTTCTATATAGCGATCTAAAGCAAATACATAGCAAAATATGGTAAACACATCTGCACTTGGTGATCTGTAGGCAGCCTGAATTACTTCTGATTATCCAGTCGGCTGACCGCAAGTACAGTCAGGGAGCGATTGTAAATTCGTTTCATTCACAATATCTTTTGAGTAATACAAAGCTTCAAACTGAAATTTCTCCTTTGTGACATTATTGATGTTCCTAGTGCGTAGTCCCTGGCAAACAAACAGTAAGATACCAACTGCTCTGAACTACTTTCCTTTTTATCCGTCACTCTTCTGTCATTAATACCTTAGAGCTTACATCGATTTATATTGCTGTGCAAGGTGCTACATTTTATTTCACGTCGTCTTCCTGAGAAGGCCATCGATCAACAACAAAGTTAACGTGTATTTGTCATTCCTACACAAGGCATTATAATAGTTGTAACAGCTTACCAGATAGCTAACTAACAAGTAATTAAGCTTGCTCATTACTCTTACTTACATATGAGAAAACCATGCATATATTGTAACATCAGTGATAAGGAGAAGTATCGAAAATGCTGGAAAAACGGTGCTATTATTACTGTGGCAACTGTGCTGATGTGTACGTTTATTCTTATTTTGTTTGAATCTATTCATTTACGCTGCTTTATGTACCCACTTAAAGAAAAGAGTATGTTCTCAGGATTCCGCTTAAGCAGCAACATTTCAAACGTTTAAAAGCTGACAACTCTTACCTTAAACTTGTTCGTGAAAAGCTCAAAGCGAGTTCTGACATTACCATCTTCATAAAGGGGCACAAGTGTCTTTAAGCAACGAAGTCGCACTTCTGGAACCTGTATCAAAATACGCAGATGTATCCGCACAAAGCATCGCAAGTTAATACTCTGTCGTTAAGTGACCAACCAATGTACTTCAAATGCGAATCATCCATAAAGCATGAAGGTAAAGTCTTCATCCAAACGCCCAACTCTCCGAGGCAGATACATCGGATTTCCGGAACAACATCTCTTAAAAATACTGATTATGAATCAGCTTAGAAAACCAGTTCACTAAAAAATAGATAATGACTACATATTCTTTATTTTATTTACACTGTGCACCTTATACTGATCAAATCAGCAATCAGGAAAAAATTCATCATAAGACTTTGAAGTTCTGACATAAGCATGCCAGAAGAGGCTATGATTGTTGTTTGCAGCGATTCTACCAGATACCAGTCTCTCATCTAGGGACAATTCATTACTCAACTTGAAACAAGGTCAGTTCGTCCCATCTGCAAGATAACTGATTACTCACCGACTTTGGGCCCTTTTCAGGTAACGACATCAATATGAGGAACCATGCACCACCCGTTGAAAAAAATTTCTCTAAACGACTTCCTTAAAGACTAGTGAATTTTATTAGATGAAGTGGCAATACCTGTGGCTTAGTAAGCGTACAACATTACGAAAATTATTATTACTAAATTGTGAAAATATGATGTGACGTGGCCCCTGGAATAAAACAATGAATGAAACACAACAATAAAACAAGCGAACAGCGTTTGAAATACTCTGTCTTACCGGTAGCGATGGATAAACACACTTCGAAACATGTACGTCACCATGTTCATCACTTCCTCGTTATTTTCGGTACACTACGAAAAAATTGCTAAGATACACAAACTAACTTTACGTTCATAACTAAATATATGACACCTGCTGTCGCTTACTGGTAAGCGATTCTAGTCGTTCCGCCACTCGTTTTGACTTCAAGCGCTCAGCATCGAACTGTCGTTTCAGTGTATCAAGGCTTTGCTTCAGTTTAGCAGCAACAGACACCAGAGCGGTAATTACCTTTACGGCTGAAATGCATATTGTATTTAAAACAATAAACACTTATCAAAACCTAAAAATTTACCTGCCAGAGTGCTGGTGTGGCGAAAGGCGCGTACCTGAGAATCAGACAGACCGGTCAAAAACGAAAGAACATGATCCATCAGGTATTGATCATAGATGATGTTGTACTGGCACTGTTTGATCAAAACCTAAAGTCGAAACTGGAAAGCTGAACCGAACGCGCACAGCTTGACATTCACTCACCTGCACAAAATCACTAAAGTTTTGACGGAAACGTTTCCACTGTGCTCCAGAAGAAATGAGAGGGTAGTCTCCACTTTCCTGAAATACTGAATATGTACAAATCACTTACGACATGTCATCTCTGGTTCACCATCAGTGATCGACAACCAGGAAACAAAAACGTAAAATTTTGTCATCACTATGCGAGACTGGTCGCAAACAACGATACACAATCTATAAGTGGGTAAGCCTCTTTATCATTTTGAATTATTATTTAACCTACTTTTGCGCTGAGCTTCTGTGTACTTGATTCTTATCCCTTGGAATATCTACAGAATATTTCTACAGTTTCATTTGCTCCTTATGCGTTAATCAAATACACTAATTGAACTAATTTTAGTCAGTTAATATCCGTATCAAAGCAAGCAGTAGCTGTAAAACCCACGCATCAAACAGTATGACTGTTGGTCTCGACGCTCTGACAGGACTACATCAGAAAACACCAAGCTGCTCTATTATTTACAAGTAAACTGCCTGTTATTCTCTGTCTGGCTGGTTGAGGTAAATTTGCTGTTTAAAGGAATTTTAAATTAACAGAACGTTGACGCGCTCAAATTCGCAACTCATAATAGCCAAGCGAAATCACTAGCCCTAGCGCAACTGCTCCCAAAGTATTGGCCCGTATATTCTATTCTGGATATTTAAAAAAGAGCTTCAATGTCCGTACTGCAAGGAACGGGAAAAGACTAAACGATTGTTCCATGTCAGCACAAAGTGCGGTGCTTGCGCTGAATTCGGTTCGGCAGCTAGACCCGTTCAGCCGAAGTCTGTCGTAGGTAACAGAACTTTTGTTGTATTAATCAAGAAGATTTCTGCAGCTTTCAAAAAGCCCGTAGCCTTTTCAAAAAGTTTCTGTAGTCTGCTGCGCGCTTAACTTTTCAGCAGTTACGCAAGAGGGCACTGCGTACAGCTCCGTTTGCGTCTCACAGACCTCTACATTTTCTGATCATGCTGCACAGTGTTTTTTTTGGTCGATGTTTGGTGAACTGAAGAAAAGTTCGTGGAAAGCGCGTGCTAAACCCAGTTGTCAAACAGAACCTCACTCGCCAAGAGGGCAATGACAGCCAACGAATAACAAATCTCATAAGTTTCAGGAGATAAAAAAACCAATAAAAACTCTCTGGCTAGACTACCGTGAAGGAGGAATCAAATGTCACTGTTCTTCCTAATTCCTAATGAAATCATCGCATTATGTCAAATGTCCACTGAACAAATATGCTGATTATTAACGCTTAACCCTCAGCATGAGAACGTTCAGAAAATCATATACAGAAAACACCCTTAAATATCCATACCGCCTTTTAACTCTACTCTTTCTTGCGCGATACAGTACTGCATCGCCTGTATGGAGTATTTAACACCAGATTGCTTCCCGTATCTAATTGTTTAATGGAATGGTGCCATCGAAAGTAGAGATAGATGCGATTCTCAATATGGATGATCCTCCATGCCCCTGTGGAGAACAATGAATTATTTCCTTCACTGTTGCTGTTTTGATCAGAAACTTGAACGAGTGATCAAATTTGAATGAAAAAGTTAGCTTAAATTTTACGACCAAAAACTGTATAATATACTTATTTATACCTCATCAAAATCCTCTGTCATCTGCCTGATTAGTCGCGTATAATCGGCTGCATGAACAAGGTTCCGTGCGACTTGGCCTTTGCAGCCTGAAGCTGAAACGAACAACTGCGCAAGTTCAGCGGTCGCTGCCAGGCGATCATGCTCATATTTTTTAATCCAATCATCAGCGATTTGCTGAAAGAAGCAGAAAAAAACAGCCTCCTGCAATGCTAAAACATGAAAAAAATGAAACTTTACTTGCAACGCTGCTCTGCCATTCTTTATCAACGAAAACAATGTCGCTTCGTCCTCGATCAAATCTTCAATTACATCTTGTTTCCTGTTCTTCTGTTTCAATGGTGCATTTATACGATCTCGCTTAACCTGAAACTGCTACAAATCCATTAACTTAATTATCGATACGTAACACCAGCAATTACCACTGAACTGTCATCGCTGTCTGAAATTTTACGCTTCCTCCATTTGCTTGGCTGTCTTTGGCCAGTGGCATCGGATGACATGTTTCGAAGCGCTCCACTTCTGCAAAATTGAATAACAATGAAAAACACAAGTGAGAAACAGTTTATCTTGTAAGATGAAAGGAACACGTGCAATGGTAAACTTGATTAATTTAAACCGATGCTCATAATTAACATATGGGGTTCTATCCGCAACAATACACGTTATTCAACCATGTTAGATCGGACTGGTTGAAGAATATGAACAACGACAGATAAAATGGTATACTCTTCTTACCTTTGCTCTCCAGTATTTAGAATGAAATAACAATAGTTTAATGCTGCAATAGGATCACCAAAGAATTACATTTTCAGCAGAACAACTTCAGTAAAGGCAAACTTTAACTACGCTGCTAATACTGTCTTGCTGGGCAACCTGAAGAAGGTCGACGCACGCTAACTGAAGTGGCGGCTGATTGAACCCCTCGACAACAAAGGTAAATGAGGAAATAAAAATTAAGCCAAAACGGCGCTACCAAGAAAGGTCCCACAGTTCCAAACCTTGGAGCCATCTTCCCGAACGACGATATCTATTACCACTTGCATGTTTGCTATTGGTCTCTGCGGTAGAGTCTTTCTCTGCTCCCGCTTTCCTCGCTGATGGGGAACAAATTATCGCTCAAAAAAATCAGGAAAACCAGAGGGTCAGCGCATGCCCTGTACACCAAGCAGGAACAATTAGTTTGGCAGCTATTCCGGTCGCCTCTTAGGAGCTCTTTTCTGGTGCCAACATTTCCATCTTGGACGTAATTTCTGCCTTTCAATATTTGAATTTGTCCACTTGGTGGTCACATTAAATCTGACATGCTTCGAACTGAGGTCTCCTTTAGCGTACCTGCAGCCTGTGCGTGAGTTACTTGATAACTCCACCTACCGACTCACAAACCAGGAATCCTGAACCATTACCGAGATTTCAATATTTCGAAAAACTGAATAGCTCTTACACGTCTTGAGGTGACAGCAAGTACAAATCTGGCGAAAACGATTTACTGGCATTTCATCTGGCATTTGCAAATCCTCAACCACTGATATACACTGGCTATGGACGAAGCAATGTTTCCTGCTTCACCATGCAAAACCTATTCAGATCTTGCGATAAATCCAAAATTTCAGCAAATTTATTCGAAGGTGAGAAAAGGTCAAGGATTGCATCTAGTGTGAGAAATATAGTAACATCGCTAGGACATAGTGATGAGTACTACTTGATGTCTATAGATCACCGTTCGTCTACCTTTAATCTCTGTTCTCCTAACAACCGACATTGGCAATTCTA